CTAAAGTTACTGCAAGGGCTGAGGTATGTGCCTAGAGGCATTATCGGACCATTTTTCGTACGAGAAACGATAACTACTGAACGTTACGTTACAATTTTGGAACAATTTGTCAGCACTCAACTAGTGTAGGAGGATCGACCAGGTATCGACTGGTTCATGCAAGATGGGGCTCGACCACATCGAACAGATAAAGGTTTTCGCTTTCTTGATGAATGCTTTCGAAATAGAGTAATTGCGTTAGATTATCCGCAGTTTACTGACACAGGAATAGCTTGGCCTCCATATTGTCCCGATCTGAGTCCTTGAGACTTCTTTCTGCGGGACGCATTGAAAGACACTGTCTATCGAAACAATCCCGTTACTCTAGATGAGCTTGAATCGTTTATTGGTGTTGCATGTGATTCCATTTCCGTTGAGAGACATTGCAAGACGTGATGTCAAATTTCACATTGTTCGTTTACGCCACCTCATTGTTTCGAACAGGTGAACATTTTGGAAAAATTGTATTTTGATTGCAAAGGTTGCTTCACTTTATTTATTTATTTTTTTTTTTAACTCCTTTCAGAGAAAGAGTTTTCAGCGCAGAGCGCCATCTGTTAACGATTTTCGTAACTAAATTTTCTAAACTTTTGTACACCATTTTTACAGTTTTGCTAATGAACGTACAGTTTACCGCATAATTCTATCGATCTTTGTTGTAGAGATATTTAATTTTGAAATCAAGACTTATTCGCTGATCACCCTGTAACATTCTTCTTAAACAATTTACTTATCTACCTGTTCATACATTTTTCATTGTTACCATGAAATAAACATGTCCAAACACACATGAATCGAACTATCAGTGCTCAGCTATTTTACCACTCAACAGTTACACATGGAGGAAAAGAGAAAGAAAACTTTTTGCCTTTTTTAGATTATGTATTAATTAACTAGATTACATTTTTTGAATGTAACATGTTAAAATGTGACCATTTTACTGCCCTACACAATCTTGCATAAATAGGATAACCTTTTAATTTTTCAAAAAATTATTGCTGTTATACTAATTGCTAATAAAGCAGACTCAGATGTAATAATGTTGCAGAAACATTGGAAGAGCAGATATTGAAGATATTGGGTTTTGGATTTCGTAGATGTTAATCCATAATGAAAGAGCAACTTGGCATTGGAGGCAGAATAAATCTTCATTTTTTATTTCAGTAAACCTGTTGCGGCCACAAACAACTTGGCACACTACTTGTGCCTATTTCAAAATGTTTACGTTTTTGATAGCTTTGCATTTACATCATCAGTGTTATGTAAGAATCATATGACATGGAGCATCGTGCAGAAAAAACTTACTATTTTTAGAATAGAGAAAGAAAATACAAAATTAGAAATTAAAGGGCTCTTGCTAATTTAAATTATGATTCATCTTTTTCATAGTTTAGGCGTGTTTAGCACCCCTGGTGTTATGTCAGTTTTAGCTAGAAGTATACTGCTGAATAATAGTTCCTATAAAAAAAAATAAAACTTTTGTTTTAACCGGCAAGCCAGTTGTGGCTTCCTCCTTTGTATTCTGAAAATAAAGGTAGCTTTTACGAAAGTGCGGCATAGCTGAAAACTAATTGCGCATCCTGCCATTTTAACCTTCTGCATTGCGTATAATTCTTAGCCCATCAGATTAAAGAAGCATTTTACTATAAATACTGTATAAAAACTTGTCACGATTATGCTCACGAATTCACGATTCTATTTTTCACGAGTTGGGAGAGCATCAAATTAATCAAGAATATACTAGTATAATCAAGAGTCAATATACCATTTCCACGTAAAGACTTAACTTGAAAATAAGAACTTCCAGTTGAAACACAGAAATATTTAATGAAGAGCTTATGTACATTATTTACATTATTCAAAACACAAAATTTGCATATAATATAAATTTCCCCATCATAGGGCCAAGATTAGGTTATCAAGAACAATTATTATAATTGTTGATTACCGCTATGCGGCCAAGAACAGATCATTTCAAGCGTCGCACTCAAGCTTAACTAAAAGAGTTATTACATTCTTTCTCTGCCGCCAGTCACGTGACCTAGTCGGCGACAGACGATAAATAATAAAAGAAAAATTGGTTCCATCGGAGGAAAAAAGAAATAATTTTAACAAACTCCCCCCCCCGATGAACAATAGGTTCATCACAAATTTAACTTACCATTACAATATTACTATAACAATAAGCAACAAATAAAAAATTACTTACATATACAGGTCACATTATATCAATAATTTCTTAACACCAAGAAAATTTTTTCTGAAACTATAGAAAAAACAAAACATTTAAATTAACATTTCTCAAGATCACCACAAATCATTAAACCAAGGAAAATAATAATGAATAAATGAAAACATTATGAAAAAGAATATTTTTTTTTTGTCTATCATCAGTTTATCAGTCATTCAATCTATTTTTGATAAGTCACTGATTTTTTCAATTATTGATATCATCAATTTCTAAATTCTACAATAGCTGCACTGGACGTTTGATTACCGAAATACCAGTTTTCACTTCACATGATCTGATCATTCCATCTCTACCAATAAAAGTTTTGGTTATTCTTCCTAATTTCCACTTGCTTCTAGATAAGTTTTCATCATGAACAAGCACTATATCATTTACGTTGAATGCAAATGGTTTCTTCTGACCGGTATAATGAGCAGATCTCAAGCACATGGAGATATTCTTTTTTTCCATCTGTTCCCAAAAGTGATTTATTAGATTTTCCTCGTGTACGGAAACGTTTTAACATTACTTCTCTGGAACCTGGTAAATTCAAGTCATTCCTCCTTACAGCTGGCAAACTCAAAGAGTCGTTTACCAATCAACAGGTGGGGTGGAGTAAGTGCGGAGGGCTCTTCAAGATCAGAAAAGACATATGTCAATGGGCGCGAGTTTTATCATCGCTTCTATTTCAAGCAAAGTTTATCCGTTGCTTCTAATTCACTTTGAGTCAAAGATGATTTCCCAATGTTCTTTTCTTAAACTAGTTTTTACACTGCGAACTAAACGTTCATAAAAACCGCCCCACCCCAGGCAGCACGTTCTACAATGTATCCATTGATTCCATACGATCCCATACGAAGCATAAAATTTTTTAACTTCAGGGTGGTTAATCACTTTCCACATTTGCTTTAATTCAAGTTCGGCTCTTTTAAATGTTCTAGCATTGTCCGAGTACAACAGATTTAATTCTTTTTCATATTCAGATTTATCTTCAATTAGTTTATCTATCTCTTTATCAATTTCATTTAAAGAATTTTCTTTTTCTGACAAAATATCCTGACACTCTTAACAAGGAATCTTGTCTCAGTTCTTTCAAATCGCTGCTACCAGCAAATCTTCTGCTTTATTTATTTGTTTAGTGATTGCAGATCTGATAGCAGCTCTTTTCGACTTTAATTTGTCTATGTTTCCATATTTCAAGTAATGGAATATAACCTTATAAAATTCAACAAATAATTGTAACAAAAATTAAAGTACAGTATTTCAATATTTTAAGAACTTCCTTTAAAAACAATATAGCCCACAAATTTCCTTCGATTAAGATAAATTATTTTTCAAGCATCAATGAAGTACTATTCTTTCAAGTAATATTTCAATAAATCAACATAAATATTCAATACTTTTATTTAACTCAATCATTATTTTTCAAGGTTGAATACTTCAAGAATGAAAGAAAATGGCTTACCTGATATTTTCAGGTATCCTTCCATTATTCCAGCATAGAACTATATTCAACTATATTCAGTTTCGATTTCACAGTATCTAAAGGTCCGGGAATTTCGGCACCAAAAACATGTATAAAAACTTGTCACGATTATGCTCACGGATTCACGATTCTATTTTTCACGAGTTGGGAGAGCATCAAATTAATCAAGAATATACTAGTATAATCAAGAGTCAATATACTATTTCCAAGTAAAGACTCAAAGCAAAATAAGATTTTAAGGGCCATTACCAATGCCCATTATTATGTCTCGAACGAGATACTGCATAAAGACTTAAAGATTTAGTACGTGGACCACTACTTGCATAGAATGAACACTAACTTCTTCACCAAGGCTCAAAATTTTACACACAGGCAATAGTTTAAAGTCTTTGATTACTACGTACTAGAAGAAGATTATAATATTAGGCCCTTCACCAGGCATCTCACCATGGATTTAAACTTCCCGACCTAATCTATCTCGTGGGTTCTCTTGATTCTATATTGATATACTTAGGTATTTTCAGTATGTTTTCAAATTTAGACATGTATTAATGTTTGTACATAGATGTAAATAGCTTGATTTTGTATGTAAATTAACTTTGTAAATAGCTTGTCAAGTATTTTTGTTATCGGAAATTCCAAAATTTTTGACTTGTGCTTGCATTTCAAGTTTCGCGTTACTCCCTTATAGCTCATAGAAATTGTCAGACTCGCCGCGGCACTTCTCTCCATTGTTCGCGCTCACTTGTTGTAGTTTGGCTTCACAAGCCTTGATGATGAACGGTCACCCCTTCTCTTTGCCTTTGACCTTTCAACCATCCGTCCTGACGGTCTTATGTCATGGGCCTCTAATGGCAACTACTCACACAGCCGGATACATCGCGCTTTGCGCGATATCCCGGCGATACTGGTACCGAATAGACTAGACTAGCCTCCTTCCTTACAAACGGGAGCTTCAAGGTACGAGTGGGAAGTACCTTCTCTTCTAGTCGCTGCAATCAAGCAGGTGCTCCACAGAGAAGTGTGCTTGGGCCCATCCTTTTCAATCTCTACAATCATGATATCCCTCATGATCCCAGAATTCAACTCGCTCTTTTTGTGGTTAATACGCAAGCAGCTAACTTCGAATACGTTAAAATTCTCCTTCAAAGCTACCTTCTTATTCGTGAAAACTGGTATAGCGAATGGCGCATTGCTCTCAACACTCAAATATCTGCTGCAATTATCTTTCTAAAAGGGAATTACACTAGAACCTTTGATGTACTCATCCTCTTTGACGAACCAATAGAATGGTCTAGCAACTATACCTATCATGGAGTAAATCTCGACGGCAAGCTCATCTTCAAAATTCACTTCAAGAAAGTTCATGAAAAATTTAATTATACTATTTGCAATATGTTCCCCCTTCTTGGACGTTACAGCAAGCTCTCCATCAAAACCAAGGTTATATTGTACAAGTCTGCCCTTCGTTCTGCTTTTCTCTACGCATTCTGTATTTGAAGCCGAGCTGCTGAATTTAGTCTTCACCAACTACACAGTCTTCAAAGCAAGACTCTCCGAACGATCATTAACGGCACTTGGTATATCAGGAAATTTGTCATCCACCAGCACCTTAAAATTCAATATATCAATGACTACCTTAGAAACAACGCCATTGAATTCTACCTTTCACTCAAACACCATCAAAATCCAATTATCTCCAATCAAAAACACAGTTCCGTTCCACTGAAAAAATACGCTTATCTTACCAACACTCTGATTATATAATTCTGTTTTCCACCTCTTCTGCATTTGCACCTTTCGCGTCTACATCTCTAATCCGTTTCGTGTTTTTTCTCTGACATTGTCTCTGCTTGGATACCATAAATTTTTAATTAAACCGCCTTAGGGAATTTTCTCACTTGATCAATAGTTTTCCTTAAATGCATTCTTGCTATTCAACTAATGAGTTTTCAATATGTACTTTGTAATTCATGCGTAGCAAAGGTAGTTTTGCTTCCGTTATTCCCTTCAATCTATATGGCTAAGTCAAGTACGCCCTCTCTTTCGCCGTCTTCTCCTGCAATAGCTTGCACACCGTGTTCAGATCGCTATATCTTCCATTCAAATCGCTTTCAACTATTAACCTAGCACCGCTAATACAAGATTGGACAGTCCATGACTTTATCACTTTAAGTGACCATACTGCTATTACTTTTAGTTTCCATGCCACCCTCACTGCAATTTTCAAAACACGCTTCAAAATTTTCTATGGTGGAAGTACAAAACTAAAGAGGCACTTTTTCCCTTTTATAGACACACTCACCAAGAATCTTAGAGTATGCAATACAACTACAGATTTCGACAACGTCTACAACCAACTGATAGCATGCTGTAAGATAGCATGTCAACAAACATTTCGAATAAAAAAGACTCACACAGTACTGGTATTTCTTGGTGGTCTGATACCTTATCTATGGATCACAGAAATTTACGAAAACACAGAAGACAAGCACAAGCAACAAATGACTCTGCTATTCGTCGTGACCTATTTGTTAACTATAAAAAATCACAAGCTGCTTTTAAACGAAAAATTGCATCTGCAAAGCAAGATTCCTGGCTGCAATTTTGGACAAAAACAGTGGACACCTACGAAGCAGCTTTTAAAATCGCCACAGATAAGATCTTCAGGCCCACAGTTCTACCCAGCAGAAATAGTCCCGATGGCTGAGTCACCAATAGATACAATAAAATTCGTTCTTTCTTCCCTTTTCAAGAATAATCCACCAGCTGATGACACAGCATAGCAATCAAAACTGAGAGCCAAATTTAATAACTATGATTCACATAGGCAGTCTACTGAACCTCCTCCAAATAAATCTGAATTGGCAAAGACAATAAAACACCTTAAACCGAGAAAGGTCCCAGGGCCCGATAGCATAGACAATGCTATCATTCAAATGCTTTTTAAAATTGCTCCGGACCTTATTGTATTATTGAAAAATACTTGTTGGAGACTCCGACACTTCTCTTTACTTACAAAAAGAGCAGAAGTGGTACTATTTCACAAAAAAGGCAAAGATACTGTCCAAGCATCTTCTTACCGTGCTATATGTCTTCTCCCAGCTTTTGGGAAACTCCTGGAATGCGTTATCCTGTGTATATTACAATACTTCTTATTTCTTAATAATGTTCTGGACCCATCGCAATTTGGTTTTCTTAGAGGCAAATCAACAGAACAGGCAATTTCGAGTCTTCTTTCAGTTATTCGAGCCAACAGAGAATAGAATCTTCATTCTCTCATTATTAGCTTAGATATTCAAGCAGCCTTTGACTCTCTGTGGTGGCCAGACATCCTTGATACCTTGGTCCCTATGGAGTGTCCAGACTCTGGAATTGTTGCACAAAAGTTGCATCGAGGATGACCTCAGAGCTCATGTTTAGGTCCTGTCTTATGGACAGTGGTCGCAAATATATTACTCCAAGAGTTCAAAAATACACCCAATTGTTCTATCATAGCATTTGCAGATGACTTTATTCTTATTGTAAACGGGAAATCAAAACTACAATCAACAGCACAATATTGCCTTGATAAGTTCAGCAATTGGGCTACAGATCATAAAATTACTATTTCAGTCTCTAAGTATCAAGCTATGACAATAGGAGCTGTAGCCCCTCTTAAAAGAAAGCCCACAATTAAATTAATTAGCCCACAATTTTATAATTAAAATAAAACTACAATCAACAGCCCACCTCTATTAAGGTAGTTCAACAAGTCAAGTATCTAGATCTCACAATTGACTCCAGACTTTCTTGGCTGCCGCACTAGAAAAATATTAAGAATCGAATTGGAATTTTGAATAATAACATGATGCGAACCACGGCTAAAACCTGGGGCGTCTCTTCTTCCTTACAAAAAATTTGGTATCAGACAGTCACAGAAAGAATCATTTTGTACTGTGCTGGTGTCTGGGCAACTTCTCTAAATAAACATGAACGCCGTCAACTTCTCTCCATACAAAGAATGCCACTTCTACAAATCAGTAGGGGGTACCGCACAACTTCGACAGCAGCCTTGCAAGTACTAACTGGTATTCCTCCTCTCGACCTAACTGTGGAGCGAGACGCAATACATTCCTGTATATTACGACTGAAAAAACATATCACTTTATGGAATATTCACTTTTCAGCTTCAGACTACGAGACAAAAAATTCAGTTTATCTTTGACACCCTTCCTATAATGATCTAGATTCTTATATTTCCTCTAGATCGCCTCAGTTTCCAATTCACGGGATCGCCATTTACACAGGTGGTTCGCGTACTGAAGTAGGCACAGGCTGTGGCCTGTGTGTCATGCTAAAGGATATTCTGAAACACACTTGGAAAAGAAGATTAAGTAATCATAACTCAATATTCCAAGCTGAATTGACAGCAATAAAGAAAGCTATTCAACTCTCCTGTAGATTCGATACACAAGCCTATGTTTGCAGTGACTCTCTGTCTAGTTTGGAGGCAATTGGTGATATAAATTCCAGAAATCCGCTAGTCACAGAAATACAAAAATTACTTCTCAACATAATGTCAGAAGTTCGTCCACGGTTATCCTGGGTTCCAACACCATACGGGCATAGTTGGGAAAGAGCTTGCGGACGAACTTGCCAAGCAAGCAGCAACTGGCATTAACTTGGCGGAACATCCCTTACCCTTGCCAAGTTCTTATCTTAAAAGGATTACTTATAAGCACTTAATGAATCACTGGTAATCCAGATGGAATATTGCAACAACTTGAAGATGAACTTTCCGTTCTGTCCCCATGTCTTTACTAAGATGCTTACATATTCTTCTGCATTGACAACCTTTCTTTCAGGCCATAGACCTTACATAACATGTCTTCATCGATTTGGTATTACAGAACTGGACACTTGTGAATGTGGCCAGCAAGGAACTCCGGATCATTATGCCTTTTCCTGTTGTCTTACGAAAACTTTTCACTTGATCAACCATCTGATCAATACTGGGAACAATGGACTTCACACCTATTAAAAACTAAGGGAGCTCTTACTAAACTGACTAAAATATTACAATTCTGTAAAGAAAGATATTCACAATCATCAACTAGTTAAGTACTCATACGATAGCGACATCCGCACTCATCAAATAGCTAAGTAATTGTTGTATAATCTTTGTATAAATCCATTTTTTTTATTTTTATGCATTCATTTATTTATTTTTTATTTATATTTACGTTTATTTATTTGCATATATTTATTCATTTTATTTATATTACTTTTTCTGTCTTTATTTTATTTTTTATTTTTCCCTTAATTTATTTTATTTTTTTATTATATTAAGTATTTGTAAAATTTATTCAGCAACTTTCTTTTTATTATATTAAGTACCAACTTATAACCCTGAATTATATGTAGCATATGAATGCAAGTTGTCTTCGTTTTTGAAATACTGCCACTGTATCTACTGCTTGATTTTGTTAAAAAATATGTACAGCCCTACCCCAGTAGTGGCGACTGTTAGATTGTAATTGATCTCCTGCTGAGCAGGCACTATTCAGCTTGGTATACACCTTGGGTCAGAAGCCTGCTCAGTGGTGATGAATAAATAAATAAATAAAAAATGTTCTTTTATCCTTCTTTCGGGAGGTGGATGAGGAAGAGCGCCATCGCTTTGTTTTCATCATCATCGGTTGCAATATTTCATTCGAGGAGAAGCCCTATTTATAGATATGTGTGTGTCATGGTGCTCATACAATCAGAGGTATTAATTGAGATCACGAGGTCTTCTCATCAGAAGTGTTCTATAAGGACTTTATGTAGTATGACAGATTTATGAGTTTGGCGATTTCGCCGGCGCCAAGAGGTTAATATAATTTATAAGAAAGAAAGGACTTCGCCAAAATTTAGGAACAGGGATGCAAATTAGGTAGAGAATCGCCAACACATTATTAAGGAATATGATTAGAATTTAATTTAATTAATTGATTTAAAAATATCATTACATATATATACTATATATATAAATTAGTTTATCTTTCCTGAGATCCTTTCATAGTGCTGTAGCTTTTCTACTTGTAGAAATTAATCTTTGCATATATGAGACAGCTTATAACACACAGGCCTAAAATTTTCGTCTTTTACAAATGAAAAGTATATTTTTATTAATAATTTATAGGGAGCTATCAAGCTTAAGTTCAAGTTTTTCGTACGTAAAAGAAAAACAGATTAAGGGAAATTAATCTGTTTTCCTTTAAAAAAAAGATAAAAAAAGATACGTAAAATGAAAACAGATTAAGGGAAGTATTTTCCCTCGAGTATTTATTTTCGTATGCGTATCTCCTATATTATCTATTTAGGGCTT